AAAATGAAATTAAAACTCCTGAGTGGTACCCAGTCCCCTGTGAATTTGACACTATGATCAGAGCACTCTTTCAAATGTAGTTACAGCCTATGGCCTTCCAATGTCCATCCATGCAGATGTAGGAAAAAGTAAATGCTTGCAGGGCGCTGTTATTTCATGAATTTTTTAAAAATAATGATCAATACTTAGCATTTAGTCATATCATACAGGATAGTAATTCTAGCTCACTTTTTTTTTAAGTAAAAAGGATTACACCTTGGGTAAAACCCAGTCACTCATCTAACTGGGAAGCTGTCATATACTTACATTTACACATAAATGACTGAGCCTCAGCAAATGGCAGTACATGAAAGAGCCAAGAACAAGGTTTTGTGCAGTGTTGTCTTAGATAGGGGATAGTGACTGTAAATACTTGTGGCCAAGATCTTGGCAACCAGTCTGGTTTTCAGAGCAGAGCTGCTCAGTATTTTGCAGACTCTCAAAAGGTGTTTCTGACTAGGAAACTCCCGGGGAGATATTATAACCATTAGTCCCTTTGAAAACCTTGAGACACAGTACATATCCTAGACTAAGCATCTCACTTCGTGCACATTTCAAAGGGAAACTCCCACATTACATGGTGCAACCTTAACTCCACAGCTACTGGCCCGCTTACAGGCACTCCTTTCCCACCATTTCCGGATTTCACACAAATATTGCAGCAGAGCAATGAATGTCACGTGTTAAGATTCAAACAAATAATTCTTTAATTACTTAAGAACCCTCCAAATCTGACACCACATAAACAAACATGGCTTTCACCTAAATTACACAGGCATCCTTCAGTAATAACCCAGCTGCTCTGTGCTTTCACTTGTTTGTCTCCAGCTGGGATATGGAGCCACCCCTGTGGTCCTTGCATAAACACCTGCTTGCACACAAACTTCCTAGGTAAAACCCTCAACACTAACAACCAAAGCAGCCTTTGACTACAGAGTCTTGATGAGTGACTAACACTTTACTATAAGAAGCCACACCATCAGTCAGCATTGTCATCTTTACTACAGCCATGTTCACATTATTTGTCTACTGACTTTAACAGTTATTCTAAACAGATTTGATGGCAGCTCCCAAAACATATTGGTATTACAAGGGAAAGGCAACAGAAGAATTACTTCAATGTAGCAAACCAAATCTGGCTGAATTCAGAGACTTGACAGGAAGAATGTGCACTTTTAACAGCACTGCTTGAATACAAAGCTTTGATTCTCTAGAAATGGGACACTTTATTCTGTATTTATATATTTTTCCTCAAACAGCAAGGTATGGCACTATTGTACTACTGACAGATCTTTTTATTGTTTGCAATGATAATTTTTTTTCAGGTGTTTGGGATTCTTCTGAAGTGGGATCTTCTTCACTTCACAGTGACATTCCTGAAATAACTTTGAAGAAGAATAATGAGCCTCCACTTACTTTACAGGTTCTCTAATACAGCATAAGCAGCTTTACAAGGCTTAGCTAGTCTCTGCTGACCTAACTGCATATTTTACTCCTACAATAAACTAAAATAAGCAGCTTGCTTCCACAACAATTGACTAATTGACATAGTGCTTTTATTAGTTTCTTAACAAAAAACAATCCTAGTCTTTCAAAAATGAGACATACCAAGTAACAGTGGAGAAGATTACTAGAAAGAGAGAGAAGGACAGAGACACACACATATCTCAATAACCAGATCAGTGCGCTACGGTTGTTGTGTGGGGTTTGTTTTTGGTTGCTGGGTTTTATTTAATTTCCAGCCATTTAGGGTGGCTTTTTTCATTGCCTGTGATTCATTTTCTCAAGCGCAGACACTGTTCAAATCCCTGCTGGCTGCTATGCTTGAGCACTCTCCAATCCGCGCTAGTGGTTGAATGAGCTCCTGAGTCACTGTGTCCCTGCAGAGAGCATGAGGTCACTTGCTAGAGCAGAGCACCCGCAGGGACTGCCCAGAGCTCAGCTGGACTGGGGAAATGTCTTTTACATAAGAGACGGGCTCCTCTCTGCTGCCCACCATCTACTGTCCTGCCTCCGCTCCAGAAGCAGCCAGCAATGGGCTTTTTATTAACACGAGCATTTAGGAAAGACAAGCTTGCAAAATTTATTATCTGAAACACCTATGTCTCTCGCACTGTGCAAAAGCAATACCTACACACGCCCTGTATACACACTGCGTGCATACTGATATGGAATGTATGGGGAGGAGAGGGAATTTAATTGGAACACACCCCAAAACTGCTTTCTCAGACCCAGCCCATCACACCTGTGATGGCAGACAGCGTTCAGATGTGATGTCCCCCGTCTACTTCTTTTGTGTTTGCCCACAAAGGAACCTGCAAACAATGCTTTTAAATTGATAATAAACTGTCAGAAACTAGTGCTTATAGAAAAAAAAATTAGGCAGCATTCAATTCAGTTCAAGCAATGAGGCAGAAAATTACATATTGATGCAAACTTAATTCACAAGGGCTTAATAATTTTTTTCCAAGTATTTAGTTCTATTTTATCGGAAAATTTGGTTTCTGAAACCCAAGTAGAAGCTCTGAGCAACAGTATTTGATCAAAAAGTCTGTCATCCCCTGGATTTACCCACTGCAAACATTTTGCTTTCAGAAAAAAAAAATTGTTTGCTACCCATACCAAAGCTCAGTGGCATCAGTATTTTTAGTTTCCTCATTTTCATCATTCTAGCTTCACCTTCTGGCTGAATAATTTGGTCAAAGGTATAAGTAAACAAATGTGATAATCCAGTGGAAAATAAAAGGCAATGGTATCTCTAAATATTGTTACATCCGCAGCAATAAATAAATAAAACTAAGGTAATAAAACTATACAGGTAACAGATTGAACATATACTTAAATTCATCCTGTGAACAGCAGTGAGCAAGAGTAAAGAAAGGGATGCATCTTGCCTCCAGTAGCTGTTTATGTGACAATGAGCATTATGCCCCAGAATGCCATCATCAATGCTGGTAACACATGAAATGGTCCAAATGAAGAACCGTGTATGGCAATTAAAGTAATACAATTTCTGAACCTTGGTTCTCTACTGAAATTCCAGAAATTTTACATTAAAGGTTTTTTTCCTAGGGACTGATAAGAATATAAGCTTTTTCTGAAGATATGATTATCACAAGAAGAACTGACAGGAAACACATCAGGAAAGGACAAAATTTTCCTAGGTGCCAAAACATTTTACAGAAGTTTCCTTATGTAGGTTACTAAGTTGCTTCAATGCATAATCAGGCTTATTACCAGCCACATATGCTGTGCATAGGTCTTCACCTATCAGGCACAGAACCTTGTTCGTCCTCCCTTTGCAACATGGAAGAACTCTTCAGTGCTCAGTACTTTCTTTATTTTCTGGTGGTAACATGACATTTTTGGATAAAATCATCAGATAAACACTTAAATTTTTCCTCAGAGGGCATCTTCTGTGGCCCTTGAATCATCTGAGAGCTCTTTCACAACTTTTCCATTTTTGCAATAATATTGTCAATGCTGGATACATATATAGTATTTCTTTTTCAATATCCAAAATAATTTTTTTACTTTATTCCATGTTTGTCTCTTCGGACATTGACTTGAGCATATTCTGTGAAAGGAAAAACCTGACCTGTCTATAACAAAAACAGCCGATGCACTGGCACATCTTCCAAAAGAGCTGTTTGAAATCAGAGGACCCCCAAGTATACTGGATGTACCATCAAACACGGTGCATTATTTCTCTACAAGGCACCAAAGATTAAAAACAATCAAGAAAGGCTGAGATTTCCTCCTTCTTGCTATAAAAAACAAATACCAAAGCACTCAGAGGCACAAGACTAACTTCAAAATGCAAAATTATTAAGCTACCCACAAATGTTTCACTCGAGGTCATTCTCAGCCCTTGGGAAGAAATACAAAAGCAGACAAACCTAGGATGACTACAACTAAAAGCACCATCTGAGACCTTAACCACTGCCTCATCAGAAATAAGCACCACCGCCCAGAAGAGCTCCAAAGAAAGTGCAGATCAGCGCCCATTTAACACGTGTTTTATAAATCTTTCTTGGGCTAAGATGGCTGAAGAATCAAAGGAAATGCTTTGCAAACAACGCATTTGCATTACGCAATTTTTAGGTGAAATTTTAATTGCACAAAAATAAAGGCCTTTGGCATTATCATTACAAAACCAAGTTTATCTTTGTCCTCTTGCCTTGTTTGAATTGCTCTGCATTGTGCAAGTGAACAAATCACCTGGTTCTGGAAGTGCCAGCAAGGTGACATTTTTTCAGCAAATAGATTTAAGAAACTGGACTTCTAAAACATCAGATGCATGAATGTAAATGTTTGTTTTCCTGTAATTATTCTAGGCTGTAATTTAAATACCATCCCTCCAAATACAACTATGTAAAAAGAGTAATTATGCATCATGTGCATAGATTCAAAAGGTATTATTTTCTATAGCTATGGATACATTATTAATCCAATCTCATATTTCATGTTGAATGATCATAAAATGCTTTTCAATGAAAATTTAGGGGGCAGAAGCCAAATAGCATTTCACACAGAAACTTCTAATCTAACCAGTGATCTTTACATACACATCTCAATCACACAAAGAAAAATCATCATACCAAAGAGTGTATATATCACCAGCCAGCCAAACAAACAAACCAACATAAAATAATTGAATTTAAGCTTGACCATGCATTTTTTTTATTTACCTCTCTGTGGCTTAAAGCGTTTTTTGGCAGTAATCCCCATACTGTGTCATTTCATAGTTTCTCCATTTAAAGTGCCTTTCAAAAGTTTACATGTATGCATGCATGCATCCTTACAGCACAACTACATATTCTGGATAATCCAGACGAATAATCCAGCAAGTTTCACAAAACCCTATCGTTTTTAATTGCAGACTTACAGGAGGACTTTGAGAACTACTGCATGCACCTTCCTCTGAATCAGCACTACAGAAATCTGGAAAGATCTTAGTCCTTGGGCAATTCTAGTTTAGTCACACCAACCTGTGCAGGTACCTGCATCACCTTTTATTACTGAGGAATAGCTTATGTAAATGTTAAGGTATTTCACCTTCTGAGAAGCTTTTAGTGTATATTCCACCAAATTCATCCTTTGGATACCTTGGAACTAATGCATCTCTGAAGGCAAATGAAAGAATGACACAATTCTGAGTTCTTCAACAGTGATAAAGCTTACCAGTGGCATCAATTGGAGTTTGTTAGCAACGAAACCTGCTTCTGGTCTTGCCCCTTCTCAGTCAAGAAAAGGGACATACCAAGCAGTTGTAAAAACAAAGCCAAGACCAATATTCAACTGCTGCTCTGCTTTGGTTACTGCTATTAATTATATAACAAATTCCTTGAACTTTCAAAGGATTATGGATACCCTGATGTCCTAGTTTCATTTTGCTGGCACTCACTAAATTTTCAAAGGGCTTGCCTGCCTCAGACGGTCTCTTCCTCTCCTGATTTGAAGTTATGTCATTACTATTACTACAGCAACATGGCAGCAAACAGGAAGCCCCAAGGCAAGCAGTGCAACTCATCCCAGAGAGCTCAAAGGATTATATATGGTAACGTTTATTTGTGCAACACACACAACTTCATGTGTGACCAAAGGGCAGGGGCGCGTTCCCCAAGCACACAGTGTGGCTACCTGCAACCAGCAGAAGCCATAATCATGACGATACTTCTCCGGGAATGCCTGAAGGGAGGCTGGTGCCAAGCTCACACCATGCAGTCTTCCTCCCACAGCTGGGAAGAGGGTCACAATCTCTCTCCAACTCATCTTGCATAACTGAGGACTGAATTCAGCCCTCAGTTTTTGTAGATGGCATGCTGAGCTGAAACACCATTCATTACACAAGGCAATTTGCCCTAATCAATTCCAAGCAGATGTGTGTGTAGGCAGGTGTGTGAGGTAAAATCAACCATAGAATCACAGAATCAGTTAGGTTGAAAAGAAACTCTGGGATCATGAAATCCAACCTTTGAACACCACATCAACTAGACCATGGCATGAAGGACCTCTTGTCCTGTCACTTTTTGCCTGGGAGAAGAGGCCAACCCCCACAAGGCTGTAAGCTCTGTCCAAGTAATTGTACAAGAGAGTACTAAGATCCCCCTGAGCCTCCTTTTCTCCAGGCTAAATAATCTCAGCTCCCTCAGCCATCCCTCACAGGATTTAACTCTCCAGACCTTTCACCAGCTCCATTATCTTTCTCTGGACTCACTTAATACCTTTCTTGTGGTCAGAGGTCCAGAACTGGACACAGTACTTGAGGACTTCATCACTGCCCTGTCCCGCTGGCCACACAACTGCTGATAAAAGCCAGGATGCCACTGGCCTTGGGCACTGGGAACACGCTGCCTCATGTTCAGCTGGCTGTTGACCAGAATCTCCAGGTCATTTTCCACAGGGCTGCTTTCCAACCTCTCTCCCCCCAAGCCTGCAGCACTGCCCCGGGTTGTTGTGGATGAAGTCTAGGACCCAGAACTTGAGTCTTGTTGAAGTGCAATCAACACACCTCTCACAACCAAGGGTGCAATTAAGGGGAAATTCCCAAATGGCTCAGCCCACAGCATTGCACAGGAAATGAAGTGGAAATAGAGCACTGTGTTTCTTCTCCAATTGTTTCCTGTTTACATAGCCCAGCACTGAAGAGACCCTATAAAGAGAAACCCCATAATTGCTAGCTCCCAGGTTAATCAGGTCTGCAAAGAAAGGTCCAGACCATGCTTCATAGGCTGTTCTCTTCTTCTCTTTCTAATTCTCTGCATTGTGAAGTAAAAGGAAGAGGTTAAAAAATACACAGCCCTTTTCTACCGACCTTTAAAGCAAATTTAGGTTTAGCCACCTTTACATTTTGGAGCCATAAAGAGTGATCCAAAAAGATTAGACAGAATACAGAAAATTCCTTTTGGCCTTACAGGAAATGGCAGCTTGAAGTTCTTTGCAAATAAGCTAATTTTTTAAGCCTTTGAGATGCTGACCAGGTTTTGGTGATTTTTTTTTCCCTTGGACTAATTCTCCAGTCTTCCTGCTTATTTCCCTGCTATTTTAACACCTAAACTATACTGAATTGAACTAAATCTGATATAAAATTATGTAATCATTCTAACAACTGAAAAGTACAGGGCTAACTGATTCATTCATTATGATCTTCTAAAATGACTTCAAAATTTGCCTTCTGTGAAGACAGTGACTGAGCCTAAAAACATTGCAAACCTGTGGTTTTTCTCTCCCTATACGACACTGAAGTGCAGAGAACAGACGGATCTCTGCACAGTTCTGCAAGCATGGGAATGGGGAAAGAGCATGCAGTGTCTACATGAGTTCGCAGTTTGGGCTATCCATCTACTGGTAATAAGTAGTAAAGAACAGCATTATTGTCATTCTGTATTGGACACTCTAGTTTAGCCACACCAACTTGTGCAGGTACCTGCATCACCTTTTGTTACTGAGGAATAGCTTATGTAAATTTTATGGTATTTCACCTTCTGAGAGACCACCATTTAAATACAGTCTGTCTCCATAGTTAACTCCAAAGTGAAGTCCTGTGCAGAACATCCAGATTCTCATACATCACATGTTGAAGTTTCAATGCTTTCAGAAATTTGGCTACCTGCTTTGGCCTTATTTGATCTGCCAGAAAATTGGCAAAACACTACTGTGCCTGTATTTGGTCTGCTATGTTTGTTGTATAATAGGACAGTTATTATGGTCCCCTCTATGGAGAGCAAAAAGAAGAAACATTAAATAAAAGAAGAGAGCCTTGGTGTCTCAAACAAAATTATTTTACAACTGAACAGCAATTGTATTAGAGATTAGCTGTTAGTAGAAAAAAATATGACTCTAGAGAATGACCTGAAGACAACACTGATCTTTCTCTACAGAGCTTTTTCTGCAAGGTAAGAACATTACATCTCATTAAAACTTGATTTTTTTTTTGCTCAAACTTTTGTGCTTTTTGAGTCTGGAAGTCTCTACTTGATACTTTATTTCCTACTTACTTGACTTAAGACTTGGTTCTGACTTATGAATCTACTTGCAGAAGATGATAAATTTATAATGCTGAAAACTCTGCTGATATATTCCAGACCACACTGCTAAAATGACAGAAGTTTAAGAATTAGGTCTTCTAAATTAACCTCTAATTAGACTTAGGAATGTTACCCAAGTAATACCAAAAATGTACTGTACATAACTGAAGAAGTCCCAGAACAGAATTCAATACAAAAGAACAGTAATAGCATTGTTCCATATTTCACTTGGAAAAAGTAACCCTAACAGGTTTTAAACCTTCTCTGAATTCAATGAAATGAACTTACATGAACTTAAAAGTGTACAGCATATTGGAATTTTAGACCTAGTTCACATTCACTATAGGAAATTAATAAGAATCTAAATCAAATATTTTCAATATTCAAAAACTAATATAGTTGAAACCTGGGCCTGAATCTTTAACTTTTTCCATGCAGATTTGCTGTATCTTCACCCTGAGGTGAACTGGAAGCAGCTCCCAGAGTGCCTCATGCAGGACCACAGTCCAGGCTGGTATCAAGTAAAATGCAATGATGTAAAACACAAGAGTACAGGCCATGCATAGTCAAATGGAAACAGGGGTTATCCCCATGTGTCAGTGATTGCAAGTGCAATAAGTCTTTACAAAACAATGCTCATTACATTTGCTTTTGACCACTGCCAAAAATTGAGACACTACATTATGCTACTCAAGGATGCCACTATTTTCTACTCAAGGGTGATAAAACGATGTCTGACATTAGTGTGACTGCAGCCTACTGCATAACACACTAACCTTTGGTGATGAGTCTTAATATAGGTATTTGCCTCATCTGGGTTAGAAATAGGATTAACATTTAAATGCATTTTAGTTTCTGCTGGGATAAGTTATTTCACTACACAGTTACCTAATAGCACAACAGACTCCTCTCTCTACAAAGCCCTTGATACATTACAGAAATGTTTATTGCTTCTGCTTACAAGCCAAAGATCAAAAGATATCTTAACCTAAAGAGATCATAACATGAAAATGTGAGAGGCAAGCCATGAAAGTCATATGGACAAAGCACTGATGCCAGGAACCAAAGACTACAGCTTTGGTTAGATGGGTTTCTGCATACATGCTTAATCACTGAATTTAACGAGTGAAAGTGCTGTGTAGCCCTTTATGAACTAATAAGCAGACAGGAAGCATTTAGATAAATACTAATTATGATGTATTTATGGAAAAGCATAGAATCATTAGCATGGCTAATGTTGGAAGAGATCTTAAAGATCATCTCATCTATTTCCAACCCCTTTGCTGTGAGCACGGACATGTTCCACTAGATGAGATTACTCAAAGCCCCCTCAACCTAGTCTTGAATGCCAGAATGCTTAGGGATGGAGCATCCACAGCTTCTCTGGGCAACCCGTTCTAGTACCTCATCACCCCCACAGTAAAGAATTTATTCCTTATATCCCATCTAAATCTACACTCAGTATAAAGGCATTACCCCTTGCCATATCACTATATGACTTTGTAAACTGTCCCTCTCCAGCTCTCTTATAGCCACCTTTGGGCACTGGAAAACTGCTCTAAGGTCTCCCCAGAACCTCCTCTCCTCCAGGATGAAGAAATCAAACTCTCTCAAGCTGTTTTCACAGGGGAAGTGTTCCAGTCCTCTGATCATCTTTGTGGCCTCATTTGGACTCACTCCAACAGGTCCACATCATGTACTCCAATCAGCACTCCCACTTGGTTTAATTTGTCATAATTAAACAAAATTTGTCATGTGCAAGTACCTGCAATATGCCTGCAATACATCTGTAGGGTATCAACATCCTCACTGCTTAAGACTCAAGCAGATTTAAAAAAATACTGAAATGGATTAACTCATAAATCAGTTAAACAAATAAATTCCAGGATTTACACACATTACCTCAAGTTATTAAACAATGAAGACTGATCCAAAGAAAGTCAGCAGACAAGCAGTGTCAACATACACTAAAGAAAACAAGAGACAGAAAAACTCGACAAAATATTTAGGAAATAAGGATAATCTCTGCAAGAGAAACAAGTATTTATATGGCCTCAAGGCTCTCCTCTTTTTGAGTTAGCATTCTTTTACAGTTCTTCATGGTACAGAAAAAATTTTCCTATGGCTTTAGTGGAAGCTTTGCCTGGGTTTGCTTCCTGAAACGCAACAGCAAAAACGTAGCAGCCACAGGTAAAGACTTACAAACTACTTTTGTACATATCTGATACTTTTCTGAAAGAAGCCCCCGTAAAATGAAAAGTACTCTCTCATTGTGTGGCTACAATTATACAATTCTGAATAAATCACAAAACCATCAATAGTCCTTACATTGAAAATGAAACTTATTCTATTTTTTTTAAATAAGGTGCACATGTAATGTGCATTTAGTTTAAAATCTGACTTAAAAGATCAAAATGCCTGAATCCTGGAGTACCATCAAATCCTACCTAGATTACTTTTTAATCACTGCAAATCAAGATAGAAATCGCCAGCTAGTAGAAGGCAGATTAAATGCTAATGTAGTCTAGAAACTTTGAAACTTAAAACTGAATAAGTGGAAAAGCACTTTTAAGTCAGAAGAAAAGATGTTCAACTAACACAGAAAAAAGTAGTGGTTGATACTTATTCTGTTCTGCTGTAGCCAGCAGGATGTTTCTCCCAGAATCTGAAGAGGCTGAAAGCATCTTGTGCTGGGTTTCACTTCAGTGAACAAGGTCGCATAGTCTGTTGGGCAGCTTCTCAGACCTCCTTGGCTGGTACAGTATTTTATGCCTCATTTGAATCCAACCAAATCTTCTTCTTTCTCTCTCAATCAGCCTTCCACCCAATGCCTCTGCCTGGCAGACACATTTAGGCACCATTTTCAAAATCAGCCAGTGATGCTGCTTACAATGACAGCATCAGGCTCCTTTCTGCAGTGACTTTAAATTTTTGTCCTAATGCAGATATGAAGGCTATGTTGGTTAAAAGCAGCAGAAAGAAATTTATCCAAGTATCCGGGAAATACACGTACTCTTTCAGAGAGCTGCCAAATCTGAAACTTTAAAAAGTATCAGCATGGGCCAGTAAGTAGTAGTGGATTAAACAGGAATGCTACAGGTCTATTAAAGTAATGAAAATTAACAACTTGGACTTAATAGCCTCTAACTGCATTAAGATGTCCCAACATGCTTGTAAAATAAACAGCTGAAAAATCTGATCTAACTATCCATATAAGCAACACATGGAGATTTCCTTGACTCTACCTGTAGCTTAAAGCACATTTCAGAGGTACAAACCTCTTTCTTAATCTTACAGTAAAAGCTAAGTGACCAGCTTTGGGCTGGGGAACGCATATGGCATAAAGCTGAAGGGTCAGCAGTTTGGAGGCCACCGAGGGTGGGAGCAGGTTTAGGGTTTCCAGCCTACTGGGTACTCTGGTAAGGCAACAAAGCCTTCTCCTCAACTTTCTAAAAGAGGGAATTTGAAAGCTAGGTGGCAAAGTCCTGGTTTCCATTTTAATCTCTGCACTTAAGCAGCTTTTCCATCCCAGAAATTCCTCATCCAGCTGCACAAAGAAACATAAAACATTACTAGGAGCAAGTGCTGTATTTTGGAGGTGGAGAAGAGTTCATCTGTTCCAGTACCACTGCTCACTCAGTGCTGTGAGAGTGTGTCACGCTGAAGAAAAAGCTTACTCCTCACCTTAGGCAACAGAAATGAAGAAATATTTTAGTAGAGCAGACCATACCAGAATACACACTACCACTAACTGATAAAGATCAGTTTATATATAATAAAGGCATCTTTATCAAAGCTCTCTATTAAAGTATTATTGTCTGTTCTGGAACTGGCTTCTGTTCACTTGGGCAAAATAAATCTAAATATATTTATTTATTTACAAATAGGTCATGCCAGATGCTCTTTGCCAGTAAATATAACACAAATTCAGAGGAAGCTGGGATAGAGAAGATGGGCTAATTTAATGCAAAACAAAAGATCTCCTCATCATTTAGTTCTGACTGCATGGGTTCAAGGTGCCATGTACTGCTTTTGAGACTCAGTAAAAAACAAGTGTCTTTCAGAAGTATTTGGACAATTTTCTTCCCTTTTTCAAAAACTTCTTCTGCTTTATTGCCCCACGCAATGATATCATCAATGTACTGTAGGTGTTACAAAGTTTTATCCCACTCCAGTGTAGTCTGGGTAATGATGGCATAATCATGGCAGATGGTAGGGCTGTATTTCTACCACTGAAGCAGGGGATTTAAGGAGTACTGCATGCCCCTCCAAGACTGCAGCCTGCACTCTGCTGTCAAAGCGTTTGAGGAAAATGTATTAACAAGTGTACAAAGGTATGTGTACAAGCACACATTGTCCTGATATTGTTTGAATATATACTTGGTCCATTATGTATTCAGAATCAATGACAAAAATGTAAATGTTAAAGTGAGTAAAGCTGGGCACAAGTCCTTAGCATTGCCACTGAAATGCCTGGAGGGCTTTCAGAGCT